TCACAGCGCCTGCTGCTGCCGCCGTCCGCTCCCTGGGGCCAGTGGGAGCCGCCTGGGGCACACAGCGCCCAGCTGTGACCGTGAGATGGGTGGGGCGAGGGGCCGTGGAGAGGTTCCCGGGTTGGAGGATTTGAGGAGTAGGAGCCACAGCTGACCTGCTTTGAAGAGTCCTGGCCTAAGCTGTCATCCTCTCCCGGCGGGGAGAGAGCTGGCAGGGAGAAGGGGGAGGGCAGCCGCCAGCCGACTGGGGTGGGGGAGGGTTGCTTTTTTTTGAGCTCTTTAGAATCTGGAAACTGCCAGGCTGTCTGTGGTGAATTGTACTTTCCGGACAGCCCTGCCACCCTCTCAAAGGTTCAGCCCAACCTGGTGCAGGGAAGAGAAGCAGGTGCGCACTGTTGGGGCGCTGCAGCAGGTAGCATGGGCCAACAGAAGTATGGCACTCTTGAAACAGAGAACCCGGCTGGAGAGGACACAGTGACAGCCCCGGTGCCTCCCCAGTCCGGGGAATCTGACTTTGAACTTTCCTCTTCCAGTTTCCCAGAGCAGTAGAAACAATCACCAGTGGCTGCTGAGCCATCCTTTGCCCCTCTGGCTAGGGCAGGCATGGAGGCAACGACGTTTTCCTGCCAGCTGCTGGGTGCCAGCGCCCTCCCAGCATGGCCACCAGGACAGAGGCAGTGCTGAAAGCAGAAGCTGTAAACAGGACAGTGGGTTCCTGGGCAACCACTTCTCATCTCCAGCTTATGGGTCTCCATCCTTAAACTGGGGTATGGGCCCTGTTGGAACCCATGCAAGCTACCCAAGGTCCTTCAGATCTTGGGGGTGGGGTGGAGTGGAGAAGAATCTAGGTCTGTAGCCACGGTCAGGACTGTGGGGGCCTTGAGGACCGTTTTTCTCACTGTCTGTCCCCTCTTGTGGTCCTTCCTCAGGCCTCTCACCTCCACTTCCACTGAATGCCTGGTGCTTTCCCATTCTCCAGCATCAAACCTTGTTTTCCAGAAGCCAGTGAGTGTTGATTTTGAAGATCTAAATACAGTACAAAAGAATTTCCCATTTGATGCAGAACAGGTGCTTTAGAAGTCATTTGACCAGAGAGGAAACAGGATGAGAGACATTTTAATGGGAAACAGTGCCTCATGTCGAGATAGTCCATAATGTCTGCTGCTGGAATTTCAGATGTCAGGTGGAAGCGGGGGTGGCTAGCTCTTTTGGGGAACAGCATCCTAAAATGATAGTAGTATGTAGAGCTGTCAGACCCATATTCATCCAAAGCGGCTCGGGTTGGTCCTGAGGGTAGGAATCTGTGGAAGTGTGCGTGTGTGTGACTGGTTAGGGGTTACAGTCAGGGTTGGACAGTTGCTGACAGTGTCCACCTGTGGGATGTGAAACAGAGAGAGCTCCTTGTTGGTACTCATTGCCATCTGCCAGGAGAGTTATGTGCCCACAAGAAAGATGTATTGTTGATTGCCCTGTTGCTTACAAAGCCAGTGCCTCTGCCTCTGGGTAGTTTCCCTCGCTGGGCCTGGGGGCAGGCGCTGGCTGCTCACTAAGCTCCTTTATTATATTTCCTGACTAGTGCTGACCAGTTCTGTAGGCACCCAAGGCTCTCTTGTTTTGTCAGAGTTAGAAAATGGAAAAGGAAAAACTTGCTCTAGGCGCTAGGCTAAGAGTGGGAATACAGTCTAGTCAGGTTGGAGAGTTTTACTCCGATCAGAGGCTGTCCTAGAGAAGGAATTGAGGAAGTCCTGGTCCCAGGAGAACATTCCATGTCCCCTCTGATAAATTGTGGTGCCCTCTCTGTGTTTGGTGATCGGTGGGCCTCTGCTGCTGTCATTGACCAGAAAGCCAAATTAGGTGATGAATAGGCAACAAGCTAATTAGCATTGCTAGCAGCACTCCTGGAAAACAGCGCAGGGCTCCAGTCCTCACGTTTGAGGCTTCTTTTGGCCACTGTTAGCCCCAGGGTTCCACCAAGAGCTTTAGAAAATGGCATTATGTAGCCTCCATGTGGCCACCATTAACAATGCGTCTATTTCTTTACTGGCAAGTATTAATTATTCACTTTAGTCGATGATGGATGAAACCAGACATCAGTCACCTCACTGGAGCCTTTGTAAAAGGCCTTTGGTCTTGTCATTTTGAGGAGCAAAGCCAAGACTGTGGTCCAAAGGATGGTCCTGCCTTGGTTGTGGGAGCCGGTGGTGCGTGCTGCTGCCTTCTAGGCGCAGAATGGGAGGCCAGCTGTGGCGGAGGAGGGACCAGGACGTCTCAGATGCTCTCGTTAGGAGGGATGCATGAGAGCGCTGAGCAGAGTGCTTAGCACATAATAACTACTGTTTCTAGTTATATCTGTATTGTGGTGATGCATTATTTACGTAATTATTAAACATTTGGCTCATGTACACAGTGGACCTACAGCTCTTGTGAAGCTCTCTACCTGCAGAGCTTTCCTGGATTCTGCTTTTTAGAAGGGAGTTGGTCTCCGGTTAAATTCAGTACCTGCTAAAGGTACTCAAATGACTGATAAGACGTGGTGTCAGGAGGGCTTCGGTGGGAAGGGCTCCTTAGTAGCATAAGAAGGTGGGTAGAACTTGAGTAGGCAGGGAGAAGGGAGGGAAATAAGTGAGCAGAAGCCCGGAGGTATTGCTCGCATTTCAACACACAGTTCAGGAAGGACCTCTTCCTCTGTGTGTATTTAGCATTTTGCAACCAACCAAAAATGTCAAGGGCATGCTCTGCCTTGCTTCTGGGACAGGCAAAGCAATTTACTAGGACATCCTGACTTGCTTTGGACCTTCAAGCCACCACCACCATTCTGTCTTTAAAAATGGAACAATGGAAAGTAGTCTGCCCAACTGGTTACCTGCCTGTCACCACAGGAGCCCTGGGATGAGATAATGCCTATAAATCCCAGTCTGAGAAGACGTTATGGGAATAGGAAGAGAAGGAGGTCCCCAAGTGTGTGGGATGGACATCCTCCATTCCTAAGGGAACACTTTATTAATGATGTACTATGTGTTGATTTAAGAAGATGAATCTGTGGCATCTGTCTACTACCCTCAAGCCAACTCAGAACTGAAAGGCACTTTGTGATTCACAGATTCTGTAAGGCCCCTGATGGCTTTGCTGTACAAAGACACTTCAGAATTCAGGCAGTGGGTGTGGGATGCCTCCGAGGAGGTGGAGAGTGTGGATATTGGCCTTCTCGCCACGGCCATTATGTTGAGCGCTGTGTGCTTCCGAGGACATCCCTTAGGCCTTGCCACTTGAGTCCTGGCAACAGAGAAGAAAATGGATTGAGTGCGAATCTTGAAAGAAATTGTGAGAAGGCAGAGCTTGAACTCTGGCAGAGTACCTTGCAGAGATTCTTCTGCTTGTGTGACCTTACGTAGCCTCACAGTGACTCTGACTGAAGCAGGGCAGCCGGAGAGGAAAGCAAGCACATCCAGGGGCCTGAGTCAGACCCACGGCTGACTTCACCATAGGCTTCTTCTTGGGGTGTTTGCAGCATCGTCAGATTATCGTTCAGCAGCGGTTCTCAGACTTTAATCTCCAGGTGGAGCAGAGTGGAGTGTAGTTTGTCCACATTATATAATATCTGTTTTCAAGTGTAGTGTAGGGAGTGAGGTCCTCCATGAAAAGTAAAGGTGCTGTGCTGGTTAGGGAACTTCAGGAGACTTCTGAAGTTTGAAGCAGCTGCCCCTGTGGGTGGAATAAGAAATCATCTGGGGATGAATGAGAGAATTGTCTGACTTCACGGAAGGCCCAGTGAAATCAAAGAGACTTTGCAGGGCTGAAGCTCACTGAGGATGTTCAATAACTCAGTGTTAAAGGAAGGGACACCTGAGAACCGTTTTCAGTTTGTGCTTTTAAAATGTGACGCTTTAATCAAAACTAGATTGAGATCCCATCTCACCCCAGACAGAATGGCTGTCATCAGGAGGACACAAAAGCAATGAATGCTGGTGAGGAGGTGGGGAACCCTCCTGCACTGCTGGTGGGAACTTAAATTAGTCAACCACTGTGGAAATCAGTTTGGAGGTTCCTCAAAAAACTAAAACCAGAGCTACCATATGAATCAGCTGTACCACTCTTGTGTACTCCCAACACAGTTAAAGTCAGCATACTATAGGGATACTTGTATATCCATGTTACCTGCAGCACAGTTCAACAGTAGCCAAGATACGGAACCAGCCTAGGTGTCCATCAGTGATGAATAAATAAAGAAAATGTGGTAGAGATAAGCAACGGGATATTACTCCGCCATAAAGAAGAATGAAATTGTATCATTTTTGGGAAAATGAATGGATCTGAGACCATGTTGAGTGAAATAAATCAGACTCATAAAGACAAATATCACTTGTTCTCCCTAATACGTGATGTTACGGCTTCTATGTAGATGTCCCCCAAAGCCTCATGAGGTCAGAAGGGCTTTTTAGAGGTGGCTGGGTCTAGAGTGTGTAACCCCAGGATTAAGGACGCATTGTTAGGATTGATTACTGGTGTGATGCTGGGATTAAGGTTGCCCCACCCTGGGTGTGAGTGCTACCCATCCTGAGGGTGGGCAGCCTGGTTAGGATAATAGGGACAGAAAGAGGGGCCCTGCTTGTCACTTGCTGCTTTGCTTCTTTACTACTTTGCTGCCTTCTGCCCACGATGGACTGTTTCTCTGTGATGCCCCTCCCCGCGCCACCCTGCCTTGGAGCCAGGCGAATATGAACTGAATCCTCTACAAACTGGGCCAAATTAAACCTTTCCTCTTTTAACTTTGGGTCTTAGGTATTTCGCCTCACCAACAAGAAAAGTGATACACTGGATTCTAAAAAGATGGCAAGAAAGTAGAAGGGAGACTTATTAGACAAGAGGGAAGAAATAAGAGGGAGGGGGAAAGGCTGTAAGGGCAGGTAATAGGGGAACACATATGAGAAAATTATACACATTGAAACCCCCCAAATGTGAAACTAGCAGCGGAGGGATGTAAAAGAGGGTGACGGGGTAAAAATGATCAGAGTATGTTACGGGCGTGTATGAATATGCTTAAAGGAAACCCATTAACCTGTATAACCAATAAAAACAGAGTGAAAAAATAGATAAAACCTTTTTCTGTAATTTTTTAAAGACTTCTTTAGGTGAGACAAGAACTCAAAAGTATGAGTCAGCCTTTAATCTCAAAATCTGTTGTACATCTGTGTGTGAAAGAAATTAGGATCTACTTTTATGGTTGAAGATGAAAATTGTAGGATGATAGAGTTTTAAAGAAGTCCTTTTAGGTTCTTAGAGAAATAAAGTTAATGTAGGTATGATACCTTGGAAGATTACGTTGTATTAAATTTGTAACTTTTTTAAACCAAAAGGCATATATTTTGGTCATTGCTTCATGCACTCAACAGATGAGTCACGAAGTGTTAATTAAGCATTTAATGCCTACTTTGTGCCCAGCTCTTCTCGTTGGTGTACATCCAATCCAGAAAAGATGACTGTCCCTAGCATTCCTCATGATCTCAGGAATTGGCAGAAGTTAAGGCAGTTTGTAATGCAGTAAGGAATTATGAACTCTGTACTGGGATTGCTATGGAG